CAATACAGACGCCCATGGGCTACAACTGCCTGAAGTTAGTATTAACGAACTTTTGAAACCACGATGAGGTGACATTGAGGTCAGATTTGCTGTATCACAAACGTGTCTGTGCCTATTATTTGAATTTCTTAGCAAAGCATTCTGGATGTTCTGTATTTATAGGATATGTGAAATAATGTCATTTTATACTAATTATATTATAATGTACATGCAATTATTGTATACGTCTTTATGTTATTTTTTAATATGTTTATACTCTACTCTACTCTATTTTTTAATATGTTTATACTCTACTTTAATATGTTTATACTCTATCTATAACATATCGAATTCCGAATGAAGCCACCAACAGAGAACAACGTAGACGAGAGCCAATGAACGACACATTTGATGATTCTGAAGGTGGGTATGCAGTCGATATTGGCATACATAGTTGGTCAAAAGATGGGCTTCAGTCTATAGTAAACATCCTATTCGAAGTTCTTACAGAATTCGGTCTTACCATGAACGTTAACAAAACGGAAACCATGGTTTGGAACTGGTCATTGGAAAGATACGGTCCATACCCTAGTCATCTAATCAAAGTAAACGACATATTGATCATCAACTCTAAGATATTTAAATACCTTGGTGTATGGAACACCTACGATGATATACATATTGGGAATAGGGAGATGGATCATAGGATCAGCAGTGCTAGAGCATCCTTTGCAAAGCACCGCAAGATGCTATGCAACAAGAGCATTGCACTGTCAACCAGAGTCACCTTCCTCAACGGCTTCGTTAGATCAAGACTGACCTACGGGTGTCACTCATGGAGACCACTCCAAAGTGAACTTAACAAGCTCAACTCTACATATAACTACTTTCTAAGGTCTATAATAGTTAAAGGGTTCGAAAGACAAAGGTCTCCAGTAGTAGCATGTCGTGTTCCCAGTATCGATGAAGAAGAAGAAGAACAAGTGGAGGAAGAACCTGACGACGATGCCGACTGGTCATTTAAAATAAACAAGAAACTTTTCTCAATTGTAAAGACCATTTCTATACAAGACTTTTACAGCCAACAACAAGTAAACTGAATCGCTCATGTTATAAGACGTGAAAACTCAAATCCATGTAAAAAGCTTACATTTCATTGGACAAAAGTAAGTAAACGTGGTAGAAAAACCACATCAATTATTGAGAGAGCCACAGCTTTTAATGGACTCTCAAGAAATCAATTCATCAGAGACTGTTTTCGAAAACGTAAGTATTAATAGATATAATAGATATGTCTAGCTCTAACTTCTTTTATTTTTCTTCTCTCCAAGTTGGGCTTGAGTTGCTTGTGAAGGATGTGAAGGAATATGAAATAAGAGAATTAAGGCAAAGGTACTAAGGTATTAAGGTACTAACACCAAAGAAATGAAAAGAAAAAGAAAGAAAAAAGAATGTCAGAGAAAGACAGAAAAGAAGGTAAAGGAAAGAAAGAAAAGAAACTAAGAAAGAAAGAAAACGAAAGTAAAGATAAGAATACGAGAAAAAAAAAAAAAAACGAACGAGAAAGTTACTAACACCACAGAAATGAAAAGAAAACGAAAGAAGGTAAGAAAAGAAAGTCAAAGAAAGAAAGAAAAGAAGGTAAAGGAAAGAAAAGAAAGATAAAAAATAAGAAAGAAAGAAAACGAAAGGAAAGATAAGAATACGAAAGAAAAGAAAAGAAAAATGAAAAGAAAAAATTAAAGAAAGAAATGAAATAAAAGGAAAAGAAAGAAAGGGAAAAAAGGAAACATATGAAGAGAAAGCAAAAAAAACCAAAAAAACAAACAAATACAAAAAAACAAAAAAAAAACAAAAAAAAAAAGAAAGAAAGAAAAAGAGAAAGAAAAGAAACAAAAAGAGAAAGAAAACGAAAGAAA